CGCTCAGTTTGACTGTAAGCTCGCTGAAATCGGAGTTTAGGTGCTCCCAAAATTAAATTTTTGAAGTTTCCAACTAGCTTTTGCCTCGAGATTCGTGCCCGATAAAACTATTTTTTGATGATGTATCAGTTGCCCCCCTATTTTTGGACGTCAAAATTTTAGAAGTCCGAAAATATTTGTTCCAAAATTTTATACCGGCCGAAACGTAAAAAATTGCGTTCCAAAAATTAATAACTTGCTCAAACTTGATCATAGAGGACCCATTGAGGTCCGAAAGTATCGAAATCGATTCCGGAAGGTCGAAAAACGTGTCCGGTGACTCCAAAAACGTTGAATTTGGACTTTCCGGGATAAAAATCGGGCAAAAATATATGATGTAACTTATAATTTAAATAATAAAATAGGTACTGTTATATTAACTCTTCCCTGGTGGAAGAGTGGTAAGTCTTTTGTCATCCATGCCCAAGGTCATGGGCTCGAATCCAGGGGAAGGTATGGAATTTTTTGTGATGACGTGGCAGCGACATGCGGATCGATGATGTGGCACCCATAACCTGTTGGGTCGTGGGTGACGTGGCCACGACACAGATCGTGGATGATGTGGCACCCATGACCTGTTGGGTCATGGCTGACGTGGCCACTACACAGATCGTGGATGATGTGGCACCCATGACCTGTTGGGTCGTGGCTGACGTGACTACGATATACAGGATCGTGGCTGATGTAGTAATGTCATGCAGGACAGATTGATGACGTGGCAATGACACATATGACGGATCAGTGACATGGCGCCCATATGCAGGGCAGATTGATGATGTGGCTGATGACGTGGCACCCGATTTTTTTTTTTTTGCTCATCCTTCTTCCTATAAATAGGCCCCCCTTGGACCTAATTTCTTACACCTTCTCCTTCTCCTCTCTTCTCTCAGTAGAGGCCTTCCCCTGCTCCTTGGATAATTTCATTGTTTAATAGCATGGTCCCTCTTTGCGTGAAAGAGCTTTCTTCTCCTTCTCTTCTCCTCTCTTCTCTCAGTAGAGACCTTCCCCTGCCCCTTGGAGAATTCCATTGTCTAATAGCAGGGTTCCTCTTTGCGAGAAAGAGCTTTCTTCTCCTTCTCTTCTCCTCTCTACTCTCAGTAAAGGCCTTCCCCTGCCCCTTGGAAAATTGGTATTCATTGTCCAATAGCAGGGCCCTTCCTTATTTTGGAGTAATGTCAGGCAATCATTTTCCTTCTAGAGATTCTGCGGTCAGGGGAAATCCTGTCGTCCCACCTGATGGCAGGCGGAGGCTTGACAAAGGAGCGAGGGCAGATGATCTGGCATCCACCGTTACAAGTGATTCTTTGATTATTCTTCATAAGAAGTTTCACTTTCCTAATGATGTGGTTGCATTGGCTCCTAAGAGATCCGATCGGGCTGGCGCTTCACCTCCTGGATATTTGACAATCTGTGAGACTCATTTGCGATCAGGGCTGCGCTTTCCACTTCCTGCTGAGCTGATCAAGATTTTGATGCATTGTGGGGTGTCTATATCCCAATTTACATACAGGGGCATGTCGAGGACGATCGGGTTGATTGCACTTTTCAGGGATCGAGGGGCCATTTTGACACCTGAGCGTCTCTCCCAGATGGGCAGATTGACTAGCGACGCATAGGGGCGTATTACTTTCAGATCCAAATGGTTAGATATGAGGACCCGGGATCCAGCAAAGAGTTGGGCCAATGCATTTTTCTTTGTGAAAAATGAATGGGGCCTAAGAGAGAAGCAGGGTAAGTTGAGGGACCTGCCTGTCCCTTTGCATGTTGGAGAGGAAGATATAAAGAGGTTTCTCAAGGTCCCTAACGTCGAGCATCTTTTATATGAGGTTCGTTATATGAATAAGTACACAGAATAAGAGTTCCTATTTAAGGTCTGGATGTCAGTCCAAGCTGGTAGATCAGATGCAAAGATGCTAAAACCGACTTCCAAGATTCCCGAACGACCTGCTGTAGTTCCAAAGGCGGCAACTAAGAGACAAACGAGAGGTGAAGATCCCCAGGCTTTGAAGAAGAAAAAGTTGGAGGGGGTTGCGACGAGCAAGGCTGCACCAGTCTCTTCTCCTTCCATAATTCATATTCCTGAGAATGTTTTGAGTCATCAGAGCATTGGGCGTCGCAAAGCTGGTGATTTGGTACGTGATATTCTCCTGATACTTTTTTTTAGGATGACTTTTAATATATTTTTCTTTCTTCTTTCAGTTGTCGCGATGTACGGAGCTTAAGGTCGAACTTACTGAAGCTTTGAACCATTGGAACGACGAATTTTTGAGGGTCAAGTACCTTCACAGAGAGTTCAAGTGAAAGTATGATCTGAAGGCCAAAGAGGTGAAGGTGTTGGAGGAAGAAATGTGCGGGTGCAGGACTGAGTTGGCAAATATGGTGCATTCTGCTTCTCTTCAAAATCATCAGACATATCAGCTTCAGATCGACCTAGTGGAGGCGCAATCAACCATTGCCCAGCTCTCGAAAGATCAGAAATCCTCTGCAGAGAAGATAACAGTGCTTGAAGCTGAGAATAAGAGATCTCAGACTCTTATTGCTGAAAAGGAAGCCGTTCTGACCAGCCTTGAATCTTCGGGAGTTATTGAAGATTTCAAGAAGTCTATAGCCTTCAAGATCATCATTCAGGATCATGTCCAGGAGGCCCGTGATCACATTTATGAAGTAGAGGTGAAGGCCTTAGAGAAGCAGTGCATTGAAGAAGGATTCATTAGAGGCTTCTTGAAGGGGGTTCGTCTGGTGCAGCGGAAGACCGGAGTTGAGGTTGAGGGGCTGACACCTAGTCAGGCCTCAGATGACTTTTCTTCAGACTCTGATGGCGACGAGATAGAGAGCGAGTTGCAGAAGGCTTTTGCCTTGGAGGCTGGTGATGAGATAGTGGAGATAGAGTAGATCTTTATCAGATGTATTACTTTATCTTTCTTAGTACATTTTTGTCATTTGTATTAGGCGTTTGTGTTGACATGTGATGTCTTCTTTGATTTAGTAGTGGATTGCTGATGTATTTATTAGTGAAGATTTTTTCAACTTGAGTGAAAATTTTTCTTTATGCTCTTTTAAGGTACTCGACCTGTTTGAGGCTTTTAATAAATGCGCTCCAATTTATGTGGATGAAGAAGAATTTTCTAAGGATATAAGATTTATCCGAGGTTGTTTTGTCAAAGCCTTGCTTGATGACGTTAATCTTTGTGAAAGATATTGAGAGAATCCACCGAGGATATAAGACATATCCGATGTTATTTTGTCAGAGCTCTGCTCGATGACGTTAACCTGTGAGGAAGAGTTCGGGAGAATCCATCAAGGATGTAGGACCTATCCGAGGTTGTTTGTCAGAGCTCTGCTCGATGACGTTAACCTGTGTGGAAGAGGTCGGCAGAATCCACCAAGGATGTAGAACCTATCCGAGGTTGTTTGCCAGAGCTCTGCTCGATGACGTTAACCTGTGTGGAATAGGTTAGGAGAATCCACCAAGGATGTAAAACCTATCCGAGGTTGTTTGCCAGAGCTCTGCTCGATGACATTAACCTGTGTGGAAGAGGTCGGGAGAATCCACCAAGGATGTAGAACCTATCCGAGGTTGTTTGCCAGAGCTCTGCTTGATGACGTTAACCTGTGTGGAAGAGGTCGGATCGGATCTCTTTGAGGCCGATCATTTTGTGATTGAGATGTAATAAATATTGCATACTTCTCAAATCAAGGGTTTCAGGATTAAAATTCACAACTTGTGTGAATATATCAACATGATTTTATTTGAAGAATATAGTAAATCAACTCAACGAAGGAATATACTTTTACTATATCAAATAAAGACATACTTCCCTAAGATAACTTAGGGCTGAAAAAGTTATAAACATCACAAACAAACAAGAGTCAAATGACATTCACTACTGAAGATAAAAAAAACACACAATACTGAAGACATAACACATAAAATAAGTAGCATTATTGTGCTCTACTGATAGTACTTGCGGAGATTGTCAACATTCCAGGTCCGAGGGAGCATCTTTCCTTCAGCATCCTTCAATTTGAAAGTACCAGGCTTTACCATAGCTGCTACCAAGTATGGACCCTCCCAAAGGGGGGAGAGTTTATTGCGTTGAGGGCCTTTTCCTGCCGCCTCGATGCTGCGTAGAACAAGATCTCCAATCGATATACGTCGTGGTTTCATTCTTCTATTATAATGTCGGGCAACTCTCTGGTGGTAGGCAGCAACCTTAAGCATTGCCTCTTCTCTTGCTTCTGGAAGGAGGTCTAAATTGTGTCTGAGCTTTTCGTCGTTGGTGTTGAAGTCAAAAGTTTAAACTCTATGACTTGGGACTCCAATGTCGACAGGAATAACAGCCTCCGTGCCAAAGCAGAGGTTATATGGCGTTTCTCCTGTTGGAGTCCTTACCATAGTACGATAGGCCCAAAGGACATTTGGGAGCTCTTCAGCCCATTGCCCCCCAGCCTTATCCAGCCGTGTCTTCAATCCTCTCAGAATAGTTCAATTAGTGACCTCTATTTGTCCATTAGTCTGAGGATGAGCCACAGCCGTGTGCACTAGTTGAATGTGAAGATCTTTCCAAAATGTGGTGAAGACCCTTCCGGTGAACTGTGTTCCGTTATCGGTGATAACTTTCGCTGGAATGCCAAAGCGACATATTATGTTCTTCCATAGGAATTGTTTGGCATTTGTTTCAGTGATCTTTGCCAGAGGTTCTGCTTCTACCCACTTTGTAAAATAGTCCACAGCCAAGATGATGAACTTCCGCTGTCCCGTGGCTATAGAAAAAGGTCCTAATATGTCAATCCCCCATTGGGCGAAAGGCCAGGGACTCTGTAATGTTGAGATCTCTATGGCAGGCAGGTGGGTGAGGTTGGCATGTACCTGGCAACTATTACATTTTTGTACAAGCTCTAGTGCGTCCTGCTTCATCGTTGGCCAGTAAAATCCTTGTCTCTGGATTTTTTGGGCTAATGCTCTTCCACCCAGATGTTCTCCACAAATGCCTGAATGTACTTCTCGGAGTGCATAATTTGACTCTGAAGGAGGAAGGCACTTGAGATAGGGTCCTGAGAAGGCTCGTTTGTATAATTCTCCATTGACAATAGTAAAGTTTGTTGCCTGCCTCCGAAGTCGTGCTGCTATCGTCAGGTCTTCAGGAAGAACACTTTCTTGTAAGAAAGTTAGAATGGGATCGATCCAGGATGTCTCCCTTGACTCATCGATTGATTGTATTATTCATGGGCCTGGAATACTCGGGAAATGAATTTCTTCAATATACTTTCTTTTGAAAGTGTCACCGGTTGTGGAGGTAGCTAGTTTGGAGAGGGCATCTGCTCGTGCGTTTTGCTCTCGTAGAATATGGATGATCTCATATTTGTTTATACTGACTAAGAGCAATTTTACTTCATCACAATATAGGGCCAGTTGAGGGTTGTAGATGTTAAACTCGCCCTCCACCTGTGATGCGATTAATTGTGAATCAGTGTAGATTATCAGGTTTTGCACTTCACAGTTGATTGTCTGCCTCAGACCGGCAATAAGAGCTTCATATTCTGCCATATTATTTGTTGCAGGGAATTTGAATCGGAGTCCATATTCGAGAGTAACTTGTTGTGGAGAGATTAGCAGAACTCCTGCCCCGGCGCCAGAAATTTTAGAGGCTCCATCAACATACAACGTCCAGCCTGGGGGAGAAGGAGAAGCACTTGTTTGATCGTTAGACATTGAGATGGTGCATTCTACCATAAAATTTGCAAGTGCTTGTGATTTGATATCGGGCCTAGGCAGATAGTGAATGTCGAACTCTCGTAGTTCTACAGACCACTTGATGAGTCTGCCAGAGGCTTCTGGCTTTTGCAGAATATTTTTTAGTGGCAAATTTGTATAGACTCCAATTGTATGGGCTTGAAAATAAGGGTGAAGTTTTCTGGCTGAGTATACTAACGCCAAAGCTGTCTTATCTGCTGATGGATAACGTTCTTCTATTTTAGATAAGATCTTACTGACATAATATATAGGTCGTTATATAGCATTCTCTTCCCGGACCAAGACTGAACTGATTGCCTGGGTGGAAATAGCCAAGTACAAATATAATCTTTCTCCCGGAACTGATTTTGAGAGTAACGGAGGTGAGGCTAGATAGGTTCTGAGTTGCTCAAAGGTCTCCTGGCATTCATCAGTCCATTGAAATCCTGAGCTACGAGCACC